GGATAATTACTACAGCATAACTCCAAATAAACAGGAGAAAGCAAAAATGGGAGATAACTACCTAAATGAAGCCTCCTTCACAACTGCATGAAATGAAGGAAATTTTTTACCTCAGGAATATTATTGCAATTATACATTCCGCAATACTGCAAAAAAAAAAAAAAAAAAACCCAAAAAACAGTACTAAAAGCTAAGAAACAAGAAGAAAAGCAGCCACTGAACACTGCTGGAGCGCTCACAGCTGAGCATGCCATCAGCTACACGTGGAAGGCTAAGAGTGACCGCCGGGAAAAGAAAGCCTTAGAGGAGTCAGAGACTCTTCAAAATTACCAAAGCAATGCAGTTCTAATTGCAAGGCCATTAGTTACTATTCAGAGACAAGACGAGCAATCCTGGAAGACTGCAGAGCGGAATTCCAGACCTGACATTAGCGGAGCAGCAACCCGTGGCCACAAAGAATGGCAGTCAGGAAAAGACCAGTGCTATCCAGGAAGGAGAGAGCGGAATAGCGCATTCTCGCGATGAGACAATTCTCACGAGAACAGAGTAACAAACACAGACTGGATATCATTACCTTGCAGGAATACGGAAGAAATAGGCGAAAGTTTACAAAACAAGCACATCCAGGAAATATCACCTAATTGAATGCCCCATCTTCACAAATGAGGCTCCAACTCCAGTCTGCTGAGATTCTTGCCTCTCAAAAGGATCCCACTTTGAAGTTAAATACATTAGAACCGGAATAACATTCTCCCAACGAGGGCCAGAGGCATAAAAAGTGGCTGGCATACCATTTATGGCAATGGTAGCGAAACGGATAGTATACGTTGTCGTTGGGTGCCGTCAAGTCGATTTTCTACCATAGCGACCACGTGTGACAGAGTAGAACTGCCCCATAGGGTTTTCTAGGCTGTAATCTGTATAGGAGCAAATGGCCAGGTCTTTCTCCTGTGGAGCAGCTGGGTGAGTTCAAACTGCCAAGCTTTCTGTCAACTTGTTGCACCACCAGGGTTCCCTAGAATAAAACCAAACCCAACCCGTTGCCACAGAGTGGATTCCAACTCACAGCGACCCTACAGGACAGAGTAGAGCTGCCCCACAGAGTTTCCAAGGAGCAGCTGGTGGATTCGCACTGCCTACCTTTTAGTTAGCTTGTTAGGGGACCCGAGAGGCGGAGGACACCTAATTAGTACTCCACCGGTTACCAGACCACTCCCAGTTACCTCCCGACCACATCACTCACTTCCTGTAAGTTGTTTTGCAGACTCTCTGGAAAGCCACAGAGGGATCCAGATCTAACCAGCTCAGAGTGGTCAGACATGTGTAAAACAGACAAAGATGATGGACAGACCACCCTGGGCAGCGACACATGCTCAATAACACAAGAGAACTCATGCCAAGGAATGAAAAGACTCATGGCAAAGAACCAAAATCACCTGACATACATCATCCGCAGTAGCTGAACCCGTTTCGAAATTGAAGCGTCCGTTGCTCATTTCCGTGCCAAGTCTTAGCCCCGCCCCGTAATAAATAATCGATAGAAACTATGAATATGTAGAACTTCCTCATCCTGTCCACCTGCCTTCCTCCACCCCTGTATGAATATGTATAATTCCCCAAACCTATAACATGTAAATACTTCCTCAAATCGAGGAACTCAATCTGAGGTCGATACCTCCGAGTTCCCGCTCGCTAGCCTGCGAAATAAACTCTTTCTTCCTCTCAAAACCAGCGTCTGAGAGATTGGCTCCTTGCACGCTGGGCACGGACCCCTTGGTCAGGTTTCAAGCTCTTAACCACTGCGCCACCAGAGCGCCTCTCCTTAGTGCGGTATATATAAAATAGTATGTAGTTTATACAAAGTTCCTCAGTTGTCCTCATAACATGCTTTATGGCTCTCCCCTGCTCTATCCAGGTTCACACTTTGTATTTAGTCTCTTTTAATCTGGAATAGTCTTGCCAGCTTTTTAATTCTTTTGTTTTGGTTTTTCATGATATCGACATTTTGGAGGCGTACAGGCCAGCTGTGTTGCAGAGTGTCCCTCAATTTGGCTTGGTCGTGTTTCCTCACAATTAGATACAGATTATGCCCTTTTGGCAGGAACACCACAGAAGCGATGTCGTGTCCTTCTTGGTGTGTCACATCAGGAGACACATGATGTCCTTTTGTCCCCTTAATGGTGACGTTAATTAAATGTGGTTGGTGTCTTCCAGTTTTCTCCACTGTTTTTTCCCTTTGTAATAAGTCAGTCCTCTGGAGGAAGATGCTTTGAGACTAAATAAATACCCCGTTGTTCCTCATCAAGGAGTCCCTGGGCGGTGCAGGCGGTTAAGTGCTTGACGACTAACCGGAAGGTTGGCGGTTCAAACCCACCCAGAGGCACTCAGAAGATAGGCCTGGTGATCTGCTTCTGAAAGGTCAGAGCCTTGAAAACCCTATGGGGCGGTTCTACTCTGACACAGATGGAGTTGTCGGAATGGACTCGATGGCAGTGGATTTGGTTTGGTTTAGTTCCTCATCGACCTTTCGTTCAGTGGTTGAAGCCTCCATTGATGATCCTTGCTGGAATCATATTCCAAGATCATCACAAACTCTAAGAGGCCTGGACCTCTTTTGACCCGTGAAAGGAGTGAGGTCAGGGAGCCGATACAAGGCCATAGTGGCCGCAGAGATCTAGCTGGGGTGGCCTGGTGGGGGGCGGGGAGCAAAGAGGCCTGCACAGCTTAATGAGTCCTTAAAAAACTGAGGCTGGAGGGAATTTGTGACTTAGTCCCATAAACACATATGAAGGGCCTAGTTTGTGCCAGGTACCGTTCTAGGACCTGAGGCACAGGAGTGAACAAAACAGACCACATCCCAGCCCTCATGAGCTGACGCTGACATGGGGAACTCAGACTACAAACAAAAGCCATATGTAGTATAATGTCTCTTAGCGAGAAGTACATGAGAAAACAACAAGAGCAAGGTTAAGGAGATAGAGAGTAACAGGCCATCTCCTCTGGGTAAAACAATCCAGCTCCCTCCTCCCTCTCGTCTACCCTTCCCAGGGCCTTCCTGCCTCCTCCTCATCTGCCGGAAACTCTAGCTGAGCCAAGTGCACTCACAGATGCCATCTGCTCTCTCCAGGAGTGGGGCCTGTGCCAGCTCCAGTGTCTGGACTCTTGGCACGGAGCCCGGGAGCAAGGAAACTCCACTCCGGCACTACCTCAGAGCTGGGGAATCCTCTAATCTGGCTGAGGGCTTTTGGGAAGGGGAGGCCAGTGCAAGTGGGGTGGGCTCCCTGGAGGAGGTGCAGCCCTGCAGGGCAAGGAGGGTGGATGTAAATAAAAACGTTAATGAACACCATCAAACATGTTCTGCGCATCTGCTGTGTGCCAGGCCTTGGCTAAATGTTGGACATCTGTTATTGCACCTGATCTAAGTGCTTTAGGTATTCTTATCACATCTATGAGTCAGGGAGCGTTTCACCCATTGTACAGATGAAGAAAATGAGGATCATCACTTACACAAAAAGACAAGAACAGGCAAATCCATACAGACCAAAGTTCCTTAGAAGTTACCGGGAGTCGGAGGGAGAGGGAAAGGGGGGGATTATTGCTTATGGAATACTGACTTTCAGTTTACGGTGATGGAAAAATTGCATTGGTTAAGGGTAGGGCTGCACAGCCGATTAATGTAATTGCTGTCAACAAGTTGTACACCTGTAAAAAGTAGAATTGGCAAAAGTTGTGTGAGGTATATGTATAACGACCAAAGAAAAAAAAAGAAGAAGAAGAGTAGCTGCTGAGGCTGCCATTTGCAACCAAAAATCTCATGGGATTTGCTTCCTTGGTTTGGAGGTTAAGGGTCATGGTTTCATGGGACATCCCAGTTGATTGGCCGAATAACATGTCCAGTGTTTCTGTTCTACCTCCTAGTTTGTGACGTAGTTGTCTGGGGTCTTAAAAGTTTGCAAGCGGCCATTTGAGGTACAACCATTGTCTCTATTTGCCTCGAACAACAGAGGAAGAAGGAGAGTCAGGAATAGAGGAGGAAATGGAATATGTGTTAACTGCCTCCTTTACCAGGAGACCAGAAGAACTGGATGGTGCCCAGCTACCATAACTGAAAATTATGATCAAAGATTCTATAGAAGAATCCTGATTAAAAGCAGGGAAATGCAGAACAGAATTTCAAATTCTCATGGAATCCAGACTTTCTGGAGCCATCGAGGCTGGAGGAACCCCTGAAACGATTGCCCTGAGATAATCATTAAACCTTAAACCAAAAATATCCCCTGAAGTCTTCTTAAAACCAAACAATAGTTTAGCTTAACTAGTAAAGAATGTCTGCCTTGAGTGTTGTTCCCTTTTAAGATCTATCTATGTGGGATCAAATTGACAACAGTAACTCGAAAGATTAGATAGGAAATTTAGGGGGCAGTAAGTCTATGGTAATGGGGGAGGAACAGCTAGGAAAAGGAGGCTGAGTTACACTGATTCCATTCTTTGAGTTGTGCATGTAGGAATTGTTGAGTTTATGTATGTTTTGCTGAGTATATTCTCGACAACAACAAGAATACAATAAATTATATTAAAAAAGAAAAGAAAAGAAAGAAACCTAGGATCAGACAGGTGAAGCCATTGTCCAGAGGATACACAGCAAGTAACTTAAAGAGCCTAGATATGAACCCAGGTCTGTGGGGGCCCGAACACTGGCTTTTAACCACCACCTGCATCAACGGGGGGGGGGGCCCGGGGGGCCCCTAGTGGCGAAGTGGTTAAGAGCTTGGCTGCTAACCAAAAGGTCAGCAGTTGGAATCCCCCAGCCGTTCTGCTGTGTCCTATAGGGTCGCTGTGAATCTTAATCAGGTTTAGTTTTGGGTTTGCACCAACTGGTTATCAGCACATCGCCCCATCTTGGCCCCACTCCATCTCAGACTCCTCCCCCTGGCACGGTCCACCCCACCTTCTGCCTCAGCTTCTTCTCATCCCTTTGAGATGGGCTCGGGTTACAAACTACCCCTCCTCTTAGCAGCTGTTGACCATGGCCAGGTGAGTACGCCTCTCTGAGCCTCAGTTTCCTTATCTGCAAAATGGGGATAAAAATTGAACTACGGAGAGGAATCCATGCAGTGAGGAATGTAAAACATTTAATACAGGGCCTCCGCATTGTCTGCGCTCAGTGAACTAGCGGTGTGATTTTATGCAGATTACCTGATCTCTCTGTGCTTGTTTCCTTCTATGTAAAATGGGGACAATAAACGATAGTGCCTTTGGGGGTTGTTCGGAGGAATAAATGTGTAAGTGTATATATATATAAAGCAGTTAGAACAATGTACAGTTACAAGTTGTTATTGGGCAACGAGGAGGGAGGGGGGAGGCGGGGCCAAGCCAAGAAGGTCCTGGAGAATTCGGAGCGCCCCCCCTCCCAGCAAGTAGCGTTTGTGCTGGGGCTTTGGGGAAGCGGCTGCTGAGCAGGCCTGGGTCCTCAGGAACCCCCGCCGCCATCCCCGCACACCGTGGGTAGCAGGGGCCACGGCCTGGGCGCTGACGTCGGCGTTCAAGGCCCCCGCCCCGCAGCTGCGGAGGGGCGGAGCCCGGGAGGCTGCTGCCCCGCCCCCATCCCCGCCCCCGAGCGTTGCGGGCCGGGGGCGGTGA